AAAACATGTCTTGCGGCTATATTGAAATTACTTAGAATTATTAATAGTTGAAATAACGAGTTATAAAATAATATATGTATTTGTGCATGTAATTGGTCTTACATGTTAGCATGAAATCATTACTTGTTCGAATGCATATGCTGAAGTAAGTTGATCAATTATCAATTGAATACAATTTACGTTGTATGTATATTGAAAATTGCAAGTGAGTAGTGAGATATTGCCTGAGTAGAATGACAATTTCAAGTGACTACATGGTAGTTAAGTAACAACCTTAATATTGACCTACACCAATTAATCAGAGGAGCTTAAACCCTATTAGGACATGTTGCTCAGAACCTACAAATTCATTAAACAAACAAATTACATTATGGTTGGTAGTTTATCAGGATTCTATCCACACTACTGAGTAGAAACCCTTATAGGTGAAAGGTTATTAGTGACGTGTGTATAGTGTGAGACGCCACTTGTAATTGGAAAATGTACTAGTGGCATGGGTGAGTCCCATAGCGCGTGCCACTGGTAATAGATTACTAGTGGTCTGCGTACATACATGCACAAGTTACCAATGGCATGCACGTATATGTGCAGAATGGCATTGCGCATTCCACTATTAACTGGACCACTTACTAGTGGCGTGCTCATATAGGCGCCCACCACTTATAACTGGATTGTTGAGGTGTACATATATGCACACACCACTAGTAACTGGATCACTGACTAGTGATTGCGCATATACGCAAAATGCCACTAGTAACACGTGCATCATGAAATATCAATAACTTTTGATTTATAAGTTTTAAATTAAGTGCTTTTCTCTAAAATAAATCAATATATTCAATAGAAGAAGATTCATTTTTACGACAAATAAACTATCAATAAGATGTTAACAGAGGTTAATTTAAAGGCCCCATCGATTTGCCTTATTACTTTTTCTACAATAAAATACACCGTTACTTTTTGCATGTCAAATTTTGGTATTTTTCAGGCTGTTTTCTATATTTGATTCATTAAGTGCATTTCTAGACATTTAGTAGATATGATTTGATTGAACTGCAAGTACACAAAATAGTGGGCACAAAATGGGTTGAAAAATATTATTTGTGTTATCAAGTCTATGTCTAGACCTTATCCAATAAAATAAAAGGAATTTCAAACATCAGGTTGTCAGGACTCGACCACCAAACTGAAGCTTATTCATTTTTATTCAATGCAAACGAATTCTGAAAAACGCAAAACTTGGCATTGTTTCATATGACTCCTATATGTTGTGGAAAAAGTTTAAGAAGGTTTCGGAAAAGATGTGCTTAGAAACTTGACAACTTTGATGAAGAACCAACTTGTTATTATATATAGTTGTAACCCAACTATATAATTATACCTACAACTTCTTATTATATATCAACCTGTTATCTAGTCCATGATGGTATTAATTTGACAGCAATTGCTTTCTGTCTTTTGACATGAAGGCTATTGCTTTTGTTCCCAGTAGTTTTATATTCTCATTTAAAACCTTAGACATTGAAAATTTAGTCATAAACATTGATTAGACGGATAGTGTGCTTGCTTGTCTATGTGCATTGAACAATTACAAATTATAAAGAGACATTTGCCTTGTATCTTTTACTTATTGTTTACAGATTCCCATAAGATGATAAGACTGATAGTGGGCACCTCAGCTTCGAAATTTTTGTTTTATTTTCATCATTTACGAGCTCAAGGAGGAATGTATTAAGAATGGAGATGTTGATACATCCAAAGCGTATCTAAAACTATTAAATTTTATATGTGTACTTATTGTCATTTATTGGCTAGTGGCTGCCTGTGACTGTGAGCACCACTCGCCCTCCCAGCACAATTTTGTTTGGTATTAAAGATGTTGATATATTTTTCTGATCAGCTTGGACAGCCTTAAAAGGTTGAATTAAAATGCAATCCAAATATATATGACTCACATTTCCGGATGGAGAATTCAGATAATGTACATCCAGAAAAAGATCTCCTTGCAAAAAGAAAAAAACATCCACAGATAGATCTCAGTTGATATGCATCAGCCCAAGATTGCTCACAAGTTTGACCAAGTCTACAAGCAGGGCCAACACGCACGAGAAAATTTGCAAGGATTTTATGTGAATTAATAGACAGTTTTATTCTGTTGACATTTGTTCAAGCGCATGCATGCATGCAGGCGCAATGGACTCTCACCCTGTCGAACCGATCACTTATCATAGCACACGTTAACGATCTCCGTTGCCGTCTGACAAGACTCGGGGAACGGGCACCCGGAGAACGGGGCGCACCAGGAGGCCGGCCTTCCGCCGCACAGTGATGCCAAACACCTCGGCCATGTCCAACTCCCCAGGTGGTGTACCCTCCCAGTCAAAGTGGAATAGCAGGCTTGCGAGCGCGAGCTCGACGTTGGCGAGGCCAAACTCTATCCCGGGGCACATTCTCCGGCCGGCGCCAAATGGCAAGAAGGAGAAGTCGGTGCCCCTGAAGTCCGCCCCAGCCGCCTCGCCCTCGAACCTCTCGGGCCGGAACACGTCGGGCGCGTCGGGCCAATAGCGCTCATCACGGGCGAGCGCCCAGGCATTGACCAGCACCTGTGTACCCCGCGGCACGTCGTACCCGAGCACCTGGCATGACTCCCGGCACTCTCGAGGGATGAGCAGCGGCAAGGGCGTGTGCAGCCGCAAAGTTTCCCGGATGACTAGGTGTAGGTACGAGAGTTCGTTGAGGGCCTCCTCCGCTATGGTGCCGCGAGCCTCAAAGGTTTGTCGGACCTCAGCCGTCGCCTTCTGCATCACCATTGGGTTCCTGATCAGCTCTGCAAACGCCCAGCCCAGCGTCGTAGCCGCCGTCTCGCTGCCGGCTCCGAATATGTCCTATGCTCATGCAAAACAATGTGAAGATACATTAAAGATGAGAGCTTTTCCATTGTCTAGAAAATGGTTTTTGTTAAGTTTCAATCAGCGAAGAATTTCTGAAGTCTTAGCCGATCTAGAAAACTAGAACTTTCAATTAGTTCACTATAAAATCCAGAAATGCGCAACTCGGTAAAAAGTGAAGCTTTTTTTTCTTGCGACGGTGAAAAAGGAAAGCTGCATTTTTCACTATACAGTAATTGCACTTTTATTGATCGATTGAATACTTGAGAAAAATAATCAGTTAAGGCATAGATGAAAAAAAAGAGGAGAACGTTCAAGACCAACCATGTTCATAATTGATTCTTTATCTACTCTTCCGTCCTTAAAAGAGTGTACTTCTAATTTTGTTGGACGGTCAAACTGTCTCAAAGTTTGACCGAGTTTGTGCAAAAATATATCAATGTTTGTCAAACCAAATAAGCATATGATGAAAATATATTTTATCATAAATCTAATGCTACTAATTTGATGACATAAATATTGATGTATTATTGTATAAATACGGTTAAACATAATTTTTTTGAATTACTAACAAAGCTGAAAGTACACTCTTTTAAGAACGAAGGGAGTAACCACTTGGGAATGGTAATTTAAGAGACCACAACAGAAAATAAACAAACTAGAGTATATATTTAAGTTGATTGAAATTTCTTAAAACCTATCCAGAAAAGTTTAATTTCCATATTGGTGAAACTTCATTAAAACGAAGTACTAGGACTTTTCTCTAAACTAGCGAGGTGACTCGTGTGTTTAATTTGCTCGGTTAGATTTTCTATCCCCTCCGTCTTTAAAAGAGTGTACTTCTAAGTGTTGGAAGGTCAAACTTTTTTATATTTGCCCGTCTTTATACAATAACACACCAATATTTATGCCATCAAATTAGTAACATTCATAATAACTTTTTTTCATATGCGTATTTGGTTTGACAATCATTGATATATTTTTGTACAAACTCGATCAAACTTTGAGATAGTTTGACCGTCCAACAAAATTGGAAATACACTATTTTAAGAACGGAGAGAGTATGACTACCTTTGTGCATACCATTTTAGATTTTAATATGGCTCATGCATGTTCAAAACTTGATCAATTAATTAATTTTGTACACATATACTTGCACAAAATGGTACTAGTACATATATTAAGAAAATTAATCCCAGCTAACAGTATTATTGTATTTACTCTAAAAAAAGAAATTATGTACTACTAGGAGTACTTACCAAGATGACGGATTTGACTGTGTCCATGTCGAGCGGGAATTGGAGCCTGCCCTCCTCCTCCTTCTGTATTCTTAGAAGCACGTCGAGCAAGTCCTCCTTCTGGCCTCCGCCATCTTCCATCTTCTCCAGGTGCTCCCGGATGATGGGGTCAAGGATGCCGGTCCCGGTATCGCGGCAATCCTTGACGCGGCGCACGCCCCCGCTGAGCCAACCGACAAGCCAGGACGACGGCCACAGGTCCGGCGGGTTGAACCCGGCCGCGAGCTTCACGCCGCGGTCGAGCGAGCGGAGGAACACGTCGCGCTCCTTGAACCGGTCGCCCATGACGGCGCGGACGGTGATGTCGGTGACGAGGGCGGAGATGCGCGCGCTTAGCTCCACGGGGCGCGCGGCCGCCGCTGCGTCCGCGACATCGCGGAGCATGGCAGCGACCTCCTCCTCCCGGATGGCGCGGAAGGACAGGACGCGCCGCGCCGAAAGGAGCTTCAAGACGGTGATCTTCCTGAGCTGACGCCAGTAGTCGCCGTACGGCGCGAACACAATGCCCCGGCCGCCGTTGGTGAGCACGCGCATGGTGGCGTTGAGGGGTCGCGTCGCGAACGCCGCGTCGTGGGTCTTCATCACCTCGCGGGCACCCTCCCGGGACGACACCACCAGCGTGGGCACCTCGCCGAGCCAGAGGAGCATCACCGGCCCGTGGCGCCGTGCTAGGTCACGCAGCGCGTGGTGGGGGAGCTGCCCGGCGAGGTGGTGCAGGCTGCCGATAACCGGCAGCTGCCACGGCCCCGGCGGCTCGTTCGCTCTGCGCCTACGCCTGGAAAGAAGCACAACACACAAGGACACGAGAGCTACGCCGAGGTAGACGACCTCCATTTGCATCACCTACACAACACAGCTCCTCTGCTCTAATCTAAGTTCGTATGTATGGACTATGGAACGAAGCTTGACAACTAAATCAAACGCTTGCATTCATGGAGGGGGTTTCAACAGCTTGGTCCCTAGCAAAGCTTCAATTGCACGACCTTGTTTTATAGGGACATGTAGACTGTAGAGTCTTATCTCGCACCAAAATTCTCCCTCCGTTCCTCTAATATTTTTTTAAAGTAAAATGTGTGCATGTTTGATCAAGTTTTAAGAAAATTATATCAATATCTATAATACCAAATTGATATCATTTGATCCATTATGAATTTTTTTAATTATTTATTAAATATTGCAGATGATATTTTATTCTATAAACTTGCTCAAGCATTCAAATGGTTGAATTGTAGGAAACTTGATACACCTTATATTCTCGAATGGAGGGAGTATACACCTTATATTCAAATGGTTGAATCGCCCGGGCATCCATGTCCTAGGACTCCGACACCCATCCCGACCATAGCACACCAACGACGGTAGGAAGAGTAGAGGACATCTTCTTTCACTCTTAGCCATCATCAGCCACCTAGTCAGCTCCATGCCTCCCCGGTAGGAAGCGCCCATGCTCGCGTCCCCAGCTAGTCCCGATGCACAGGGGGCAGGGGACGCAACCTAGTGACTACTGATGGTTGTCGTCGAGCAAGCCTCGACCCTAGCCCATTGGCCTTGGCACTGGCGAGCTCGCACGATGCCACACATGTGGTCCACAGGGATGATCCGACTGTCGGTGCAACGGTGCCATGACCACCACCAGCAACCTCCATGCCCACGAGGAGAGGCACATCACCGCCCGCGAGCACCACCTGCACCGAGCCCAACCTCACCTACCCGGAGCGACAACCCCGACCACGTCGCTCCTTCGCACGAAGCAGCTGCCCCGTGCCAGCCAGCCCCATGAGAAAGGAGAACGGGCCCCGACACTGCCAACGCCAATCGGGCTTCGACCGTAGCATGCTCCGGATGCGGGGAGGAAAGGAGGGAGAAGGAGGCGGTGCACCTAGGGTTCACACCGCACTCATGGGAGTAGGCTACCTGAGGCGTTTCAACTATTTTTCCGTGATAAATTGTTGCTAATATAGCAACATATTAAATTTAAAATATTTTTAATGGCACAAATAAGTGTTCACATGGTGTATTTGGGCTACACGTTTCTCTAAAATTGTAAATGTTTGCCAATGGAATAATAATATAAAAATAAATTCAATAAACACAAACAAAACAACGTACTCCCTCGGTCCCAAATACATGTCACGGAAATGGATAGAAATGCATGTAGAAATGGATAAAAATGGACAGAGGGAGTGCAATTTTACAATTTTTTAGCTGTGCAAATGCATGGGTCACCTACTAGTTTTTTTAATATAGTACTCGCTTTGTAACTTGATATAAGACATTTTTGACACTGTCATAGTGTCAGAAATCGTTTTATACATGAAGTTACAGAGGGAGTAATAGGTTGCATGTGTTGACATAGGAAGCTGATTCCACAATCAAATGTGGATGATCTCTAGTCAATTTCAGCAGGCCATAACTTTAGGAGTATACGGATATATAGATAAATGGCGTGGAGATCTTCTTATTGGGGATTTGACTTCGTTTCGAAGGTAGCAAGACACAGAGGGCGATGGCGAGGGCGCTCTCGCCACCGCCTCAATCACCCTCCTCTCCCAGCCTCCTCCTTCGCCGTCGTCAGAGGACGTGGCTGGGCAAAGCTTGGCCGGCAGCGGCTGGGCCGGGACACCGCGATGGTGAGGGTCGCAGTGTGCGGCGGCGGACCCCATGGTGGCGGCACTAGGGACCGTCTGTGCACGACGGGTTTCGAGGTGTCGGATCATGCAGGCGAGGGGGTGGTGGCGGATCGGGATCCGCTCCGATCTGACGTCCATTTTCAGCCGACAGCACGGGCTATGGACAGCGAGGCCGGTGTTCTCCACCGTGGTGATGATGGCGTCAGCGTGGTGGAGGCGGCGGTGTGGTGGCGGTCCTAGTTATCTTATCGCATCATGACAATGATCTGCATGATTGGTCCTCGTTGATCCGGCCGTCGATGTGTTCCGAACCTGCTACCGGAGATCTTGCCCAAGGATATCTGGATCAGATAGAATCCGGTCGTACGCGTTCATATCAGCCTACGTGGCTCCATCAGGGCACGACATGAAGCTCTGTTGTTTGTTGACACCATGGGATATGTCGGTATCTTGAATTCCATGGCGTAGATAGCGGTGGAGAAAGTGATGGTGGCCGAGATCGGAGGATCAGTAAGGCGGAGGGAGCCTTGGAGGCGATGGAGTCGGCCATGTGTTTGATAACTTTCAGAAGCAGCAGTGACAAGTGGGGGCGGCAGCATTGGAGTATTTCATTTTTTGGTGGTCCTCCTTGGGTGCCGAGTCATGACTTTTAGGGCGAAAATCTAAGGTCTGGCCTTCATTGGTTGTATCTGACAATTACCTTGCTGGAGGTATTGTTTTGAGAGCTCGACTTTCCCCAAAGTGAAAGCCTAAGATCTTGGATAGGGCGACCCGGCGCGTGTGCACTGTTTTCTTCTTGAAGGCGCCTCTTTTGGAGACCTTTTATGTTTTCCGAGTGTTGTCTTTGGCGGTGGTTTGTGTGCTGCTGAGAGGAGTTGATCACTGTGATGAGGTTTTTTTTTCCTTTGGGTTGTGTGCATCTTGAATGTCTTTCCACGATATTAATATATTCCTTTTTTAAATAAATAAATAAATTGCAAGACACGAGCACAGGCCTTGCTTGCTTGGTGGGTTTGCACCCCCGTTGCTATCCACTACATACTGTTCATGGTCAGCCACCACGCAATGGGCGTATCTCCCCCATATCGTGTTTGCGTAATCGAGCCGTACGCACCGCTTCTGCCTTTGATGTATGTCTACGTATCTATTAATCTATAGTATCAGTTATATCTTTCAAATATCTAGTACAGTGGACTAATAAATTGTTAAGTGAACTGAGCATAGATGGTTAGGTTTCATGTGGTGAAATCAGCCCATCGAAGTTTAAGCTCTAGATTTGACACTGATGCTTGCACTTTGCATGGTTTATTTTAGTCTTCTGCTGATGTTCATTCAGTGGGAGAAGACGTTCTCATTGACTACGTGATGGGCAACATCTTGAAGGTGTTCATAATGATAAGTTATACGTGCGTGCGTTCATAAATATGAATGTATGCGAATATGAGCATCTGTGATTGTACTGTATTAAAAAATTGATAAATTTTATTAAGTATGAATTGTGGGCCGTGTTGTAATGGTCCATCAAATCCAAGACTGTGTTTCTTAATTCAATTATGAACTCTGTTTTCTTCTTAATTAAAAGGATCACATTCTTGTTGATCCAGCTAGGCTTTCAGCAAAACCGGATCTAGTATTTATTATTGCGTAAGCTAGCTGTCGTCTGCAATGATCGTCCCACCTGGGAAATTGAATATTGATCCATAATAGCCATGTGAACCGTGAGCTGATTAGTCTATGGCTTTATATAGATTTTTAAAACGTGAGAGTACATATTTCCCGTAGCATAAAATCACTTTGTTTATATTTATGTATACATGAGCGTTGACACACACCAGTAGGTTATAATTGTGTGCCACACGTAATTAACTAGGTCAAGCAAGCAACCCCGCGCGGGTCTCGCTATCAGTTTGTAATCCATGCACCAGAAATTCTTCATGTCATAATAAATAATTGATGTTTTATATTCATCATACCAAATGTCACACCATTGATCATTTCCTTCTTTGGCAGTACCATTGACCAATCTCTCATATAGTTAAACAGAAGGAACGTGGTCCTTCGTTCAACTTACATATGTTCGGCCTCCCTCTCTCTATTTTGATTTTCTTCCTCATATCTCTTGTTTTCTTTACCAGCCTTTCTTAAAAATGGTCCTGTCTTTTATTAACTTGTACTATATGTAAGAGGAAAACGGTGGAAACAGATGTTAATTCCGACATGTGATTCAAAAGTTATAGATTTTTTTAATGTTTTGAAACAAGATCAAAACTGGTGTGATTCACATAACCTACATTTTATTGGTTAAATTGATTGTCAAAGTTGGATCTTAATATATCGATTGGGCGTTCGTGCTGATCCATATCTTGTACTGCACAAACAAGTGATGTTTTGGATACCGATGCGTTTGTTGATACCAACTATCACAACATTGACAACTTGCCTCATCAAAGTCAACTTCAGGTGGGCTGGCACATACGCATTGCATGTGATGCTACGGAGGCGGAAATGATCGCTACCTATGAGCCTCCTAGCAAGCGAGAGCGTGTTTTTCCCCCTATTTTTACTTTGTTATTTTGATCAATTTTACTTTAGTAGCTTTTCTCTAAATTTGGAAAGAAGTTTGTAAATTTGCACATAATTCAAATAATGTTCATGAATTTGAAAAATAAACTTTGTAAATTATGAAATGTTCACAAACTATAATATTTTCGTGAATTTGTAAAAAATCACAAATTGAAAATAAACAAGTCATGAACATTAAAAATGTTTATCAATGTTACAAAATCACCAATCTGGAAAAAAGTTTGCAAATATGATTTTATGTGACTTTAATTTTTTTCATAAATTTGATAAGGACTGTGCTAACGACCAGTCGACTGGTCGTTAGCTACAGATCCGCACGACTTCCTCTCGCGACCTGCACGCTCGGTTTCACCGATTTTTCTTCTTCTCTCGAAAACCGTATACGTGAATAGTAAAATCCTAGTGGTTTTTCTGGTTTTTTGGCTACACAATATGAAAAGAAAATAAAAGTGGTAGAAAGGGGACTCGAACCCAGTTCTATTCATTAGACTTTGAGGCCAATACCAACTAAGCCACCTTTAGTTGTTGTCTATTGTATATAAACAAGGTTATTTGAACCTTTATTTTTCTGTCATACCAGCAATAATAGTTTCTTTTTGCTTGGTAACTTTGGCACGACCAACGTGA